GGTCAGGGTCTGACCTCGGCACACCTGTGCCAAATGCGACTCTCACGCTTCGTCCTGGAGTGGAGGGGAGAGAAGCACTTTTAATCAGATTGAATGAGGGCACAGGCCTATGATTATGGTAATTAGTAGTGAATGGAACACTAGTTAAGGATCGAGAATACTGCACTGGGGTGCGTCGCATACTCGTGTCCAACATCTATTTTAGCTTCGATTGTCACCTTGAATGATGAAATACCAATAGGCACAATTGAACTAAGGCCTTCTGACAGTTGCACGAAAAGCAACCAATTTGTGCTTTGGTTGACGAACTTCAAAAGGTTTGAGGAACGGAAGTCCAATTGTTAAAAAATCATCGACTTTTGGTTCCAGCCTTATGTTTAATGGGTTCTCCAAGTGAGCGGAGGTGACTGCATTTTTCCATGAGGCATTTAGTACGTGGTCGATACACCAAACTGCTCTGGAGCTCAAAGCGAGTTGCCTTGTATATTCAAACACTCCTTTGTCGAGAAAATTAATCTTGGCTTGATATTTGAGTGAGACGAAACTGTAGCTCTTCATAAATGATAAAGACTTTAAATAACTAATGAAAAAAATGACGTCTCGCTTTGGATGTGCAACTTATTAAGTTTTGCCTGCCTCTTATCTTGCCAAATCGCAAATCGTCTCTTTGTTCAAGTAAACAACGATTACCTTGCTTTTAAATGAATTTCTAACTGTTTCAACAATTTGGTTCACCGCACAAATAAACTCCTTCCTACTAAGAAGGTACTCACCAATTGGGAAAGTGTTTATCACCAGTTTTATATCTAAAAGAGCGCTATTTTGAAGAAACCGAGTGAATTAATTTGTCCACTTACTTCAGTGTTACGTGCACAGCCATATTTAAGCAAGCTTCACTGATTTTATGCCAATGGTTAATCCGCCTCATCGTGCTAGGGGATGGAAGAAGTCACTTCTGGGAGTACTTTGATGGACTATAACATTAACAAAAAAGGAACTATATCCGATGGATAAATCGTGCAACACGGGTATGGTACAAAATGGGTTCAAGTATGGCGTGAAACAATAAGGGTGGAAGAGGGCTTTCTGCTCAGAAGGGGCGAAAGAGATGTGTTTTCTCTGGTGATCCAGTTAGCGGTGGAGGACAGAGATTATCTACGCAGAAACTAGACGCCAATGCAGAAGTAGAGGGTACGGGGCGTGGAGGACTGAGGGCAGAGCGGGGCAATTCGCATTTCCCTGTCTTTTGCTTCTTCATCGGTGAAGCCGACTCACTCTCGTCCATTGCAGTAGCTGCCAGAGCCATCTCAACAGATGTTACCGCCTTGGACTGAGAGCAGTGCTGTTTCTGCTGAAAGTCGCAGTAGAGCTTGGCTACATGGAGGAGAGTCTCGCGAAGGTACGGATCGCTTCCTGCAACAGCATGTGTAATGTATGACTGTGCGTCAACTGATGTCATTGCCATTTCGTTTATGCGCATTTCAGCTACAACGTTTACAGTGTACTATGAGCTCTCCGGTGAATCATGCGCGAAAAAGCTCTGTGCTTGATGGAATCAAAAGTTATGTGACAAAGTTGATGTAAGCAAACTCTGCACAATGGTAGTGACATTGGCTTAGAGGCAACTGATTTTGGCTAAATCCGCGTCACCTTTGCCAAATCAATGTATTATGACGGGTCGATTTTATTTCTTGAACTAAGATTAAAATAAAAAAATTACCGATACTGCTCA